TAGACACTCCACGTTTTACTTTTTCTTTTATTTGTCTTTTTGTCGTATGTCTCTTTTTATTCGATTCCTCTCATATTCGAATCAATGGTTTGATTCGAGAGGGAGATTTATTCGAATAAGGGAAGTATACGACGATCGACAAGCAGACGACTCTATTGAAAAATAAAAAAGAGAAAAATGAACGTAAACAACCACATTAAAGTGGTTTGACGGATTGCCCGTGAGAGTAATCGACTATTTTGGAGAGTTTAGGAGCCACTTTTCTATCACAGTTTGCTAAAACCATCTAGAACCCTGAGGCTTAAGAAAAGCGTCTGATCCCTGTGGCTTAAGAAAAGCGTCTGATCCCTGTGGCAATTGAAGCAGGAAGCCAACGAGAGCTTGTGGTCCTTTATCGCACGCTTCCATAGCGAAACGCTAGACGTCAAGGATTTGAAGCCCGACATGGCCCGGGTCGCGCTGACACAAGGAGTTAGGTCGAAGAGGTTTTGTTTCGACCTTGAACTCACAGAGCCACAAAGCTTGGTCGAGTTGCTAAAAATGTCCAACAAATATATCTTCGCCTATGTGAATGCCCCTGAGCCCGCTAAACAGTGACACAAGGAGAGACCGCCACAAGATAGCTAAGGACAATCCAAACAATGTTCACAACCGTCCAACCGCCCCCTCTACAAGGGTAACCCCGACAATCGCTCCACCCAGTCTCATGACGATCAAAGGCGACAAACCAAGACCAGAAGCACCGATCGTCACACCATCGTGAACACCCCCGATATAATCATTCTACAATTTCTTGTTTGCACGCTTACTGCTCAAAACAAAGCCAAATTTGCACCTCCCCCAGATTTACTCCCTAGTATAACTCAAGTTGAGAAACTCTCCCCCCATAGCAACAAAAAAGAACTTTATTATTTCTAAAATATATTATATATTATTAAAAAATAAAGGTGTAAATAGAGAAGCAGAGGAAATGAATGAAATAATTATGTGGTAATTCATTAGCCCACCGATCGCATTTTGCTGACATCATCTCCATCTCATCAACCAACGGATAAATGCAAGAAAAATGGGTTCACCTTAATTGAAGACCCACTTGTGTCATATAGACTAGTAGATTAAAAGATTTCTTTCGGTCACAGAGCTTCACGACACTGACCAACACATCTTGTAGACAGTTGGACAAGCAAGCACCCCAATCTTGATGCAGGCCCCTCAAGTAGAGACGATGTTGGAAGGCTGCCAAAATTTCTTCAACTTGCAAATGACTTAAAACGTGGAACTAATTGAGCCTAAAAATGTGACAAATAAAAAATCAGGCCTTTCAGAAACATTTTAAATTAATCATTAAACTTAAAAAATCTTGAATTTGGTGTAAATGATGATTTACATGAAAATTCAAGATTTTATCACGTGAAGATTAAAAAGGTGAATGAATAAGATGCTTTGATTAACTGATAAGTTTTAAAAATGCTCAATCAACACCATATCTGCAAGTCTAATTTGCAAGTAGACAGAAGGTGATTTTTTTAAAGCCCAAATATGTAATTTTGCATGCGCTTTAATAAAGGTAATGCTTCAACTCAAAGGATTTGTCTTGAAATATATGCAAGCAAACTATGAGTTTTCAAGTGATTATGCAAGTGCTCTCAAATTATGTGCAAATGACTAAAGCATCATGTCATACTTTGAAGGTCATAACACATGCATTGTTATACTATATAAGTGCATAGGCTCAAAATTAGCTATAATTTACTAGTATGTGCTCCAGCTAAAATTCTAAATGCTTTAAGGAATAGCTTATGAATTTTGTGTAGGTTAAGGCTAAACTTGCACTCAAATAATTCATGCTTTGAAAATCGAATAATTGGATCATCTTGTCTATATGGTAGGGTTGTAACTAGTTTGATTCTCCTCTTAAGAATTGGAGTAAACAAAACTAGATTCTAAAAATATCAAAATTGATGAATTTCAAGTAAATTCCAAACATAAATATTTCAAATGTTCAAAATTCCTCGATGATGGTCGAGTTGATAGAATATTTCAACCGGAGAGATCTATTTCCGATATTAAGTTTTAAAGTCTATTTGAATAAGTTCAAATAATATATATATATATATATATATATGAACCTGATCCTCTATACGCAAGATAGAGTTGATAAAATTCATGTTTAATCATATTTTACAAGTAATTTGTAAAGTGGATCAGGGTCAAATCAAGCAATCAAATCCCAGATAATTATGGTGTTGGCTGAAAATCTCAATTAGAGAGATTAATTTCAAACCAACATGCAAATTAATTTTTTAAATGAACACTTGAGTTAAAATTAATCACCTAAAACTTAAAACAAATCTCATTGATCATCTCAACAGTTTGTTGAGCGTAACAAACTTTTAATTGACTTCAGCTCACAGAGTTAATCTCACATCAAGGGTATCAATATATTCACATCAAAATTATTACACGCCAGTAAAGACGTGGACTGATTCCTCCGTCGAAGTGATTTTGTCGCCAAATGACGCACCATAAAGTAAGGGTTACAACTAGAGCCCTCTGAAGAGATAGTTGCTGCCAAATTGCTAGGGTTGTAAACGAGCCGAGCTTGAGCTAGCTCAGGCTTGGCTCGTGTTCAGCTCGTTCGAAATAGCTCGTGTTCGAAATCGGCTCGTGTTCGAAATTGGCTCGTGAACAGTGTGTTCGTGTTCGACTCGATTTAAATATTTGTGTTTGTGTTCGGCTTGAAATTGGCTCGGAAAAATTAAATTGAAAAAAATAGAAGTAAAGTTTGGGATTTGAACATGGACCAAATGTATACAAAAGAATACACTAACCACATTACCACACGAGATGCTATGATTTAAACTTAGATATAAATATATATAATATATTGTTATATAAATAATTATATATATTTTTTTTTAATTTAGAGCTAAAACGAGCCGAACACGAGCGAACAAAGAGTTGTTCGTGTTTGACTCGTTTATAATTCGAGCTTTAAATATTTGTTCGTGTTTGGTTCGTTTACTTAACGAACGAAACGAACACGAGCTACTTAACGAGCCGAACACAAGCTGTTCGCGAACAACGAGCTTTTTTGAAAGCCCTACAAATTGCATAATAATATTACGATCGTGACCACAACTTGTATGTTTCATAACGACCTTCTACCCTTTGAGTTGTGAATTATAAGGGAATTATAAAGGCACAATTGATTGGCAAAAAACCTTATGTCAGCTAAGGTAGGCTTAAATTTATCCCTTTAAGCAAACATCTACTCCAAATCTATAAGAATCCATTGGACGATACAGCTCACGGTTGCTGACAAAGATTCTTCAATCAGGCTTAGTCGACTACCTCCTCTGACTAAGCAGATCATGGATCACGACAACCCGAGACAACGAAACTATGGAATCTTGATCGGGTTCATCATTGTTTCCCCTACCATCTGTTTTAACTTCCGAGCGATAAATTTTATAATCTAAAATAAATGTCTATTGATACTATATTTTGAATATTCAGTGCTTAATGACCACCCTTAATTGAAAGTATTTTGTTGTCATCAAGAATATTAATTAATCATAGAGACTTGCACCTATGGGAAACCTCAAACCCCAGATCACTAAGTCCTCACAAAATGAGGGTGAAATCTCTGAGTAGTGTCTTATCTAAAATTCAATCTGCTTTTTGATAATAAACCTTAAAGCTCTCTCGACACAACATGATAACAAAGAGTCGAGGGGCATCGGAGTTTTCAGAGCCCACAACATGTTAGGAAGGAAATAATAAAGCAGGAAACTAAACATCATAAATAGAGTAATAAGTCTAAAAAGGTTATAATTTTCAAAGAAGGTGCATAGTATGGATCAAACTAAAGAAGGGGAAATTTCCTGCAAGTACATTGGCAAAGCTCAAGCCTAGATTTGATGGTCCATTCAGAATTATTAAGAATATTATAACAATACTTATAAGATTAACATACCGAGAAACTACAATGTATCAGTTTCTTTTAATGTTATTGATTTGCCCCATACTATGAGGGCCCGGATGCCTTTAGAGGCGAAGGTGAAGCCCCTCCAACCCAGAGAGAGTGACGCAAAATGCAAGTTTTCCCACGATACCGTGGTTTCGCGGCAACGGTTCCTACGATCACGAGAGTCCAACCGCCGAAGGCTTTTTAGATTTTTTATTTTTATTTTTATTTTCTTTCCCTTATTTTCGGCAAGTTTCCGTCTTTTGCTTCATTTTTAGTTCTTACTTATGTTTCTAGTTTCTAATTAGCTTATTTTCTATTAAGGGACCCTTTATATGGGTTGTATTCTTATTTTTTGGATTTTCAACTTGATTTTATGTATTTTGGAAGATATTTGTTTGATATCTACTCTCTGGAGTGTTGTAGCATCTTCCTTTTACAAGTGGTGTGTTTGTAGCTTGCACAAGAAGAAGAGGTGGATCCCCCTAGCCATCCGCAACTCGTCGTTCCACGGCTCGCCTATTATTTTCAGCTGGACAACCATCAAAACAACTGTCCTTTTTCCACTTCTGGTTTGCTGTCTCGTAAGCATTAATATTGATTTTCAGCCGCCATCCACCCTCGCACTCATGTTAGCAATCGTACAACTTCCTAATGTCTTTTTGTGTTCTATCACACATTCTAGGAGCCCTATAACAATATCAGATTTAAAGATCTACACTTACTGAAAGAATAAACCTTATGTGCCGCTATGATAAAATTAACAATTTAATAGTTTGAGGATCGTTTGTTTTACTTGTTTTATTTTGTAATTTTTAATCTAAATTTATTTGAAACTCGACTATGATGATTATGGGATGTGTTTCCATTCCCTAATTGTCATGGACTGTGTTTGGTCTGGATTGTTCCATAATAACTAAACTCGGGATGAAATATATTTTATTTGATATATTTTAGTATATATATTCCTTACTCCTACATTACTGTGATTCAAATGGTACAAAGTAACAAAATACAAATAGATACGAACCGAGAGCAAAATGCCCAATGAAATATAGGGTTGGGAGGCTGGTTTCAAAACATGAATCGCTAAAACACCATTAGACTTTTCCTTCTCTTCTGTATAAAAATTGCGGTAGATTTGCACGCCTGAAAATGCACTTTGATTTTCAATGAAAAAATAGAGCTACGATCTAAAATGTAAACATGAGAAGTTCTAGAACTAGAAATTTGGGTAAAAAACTTAATACTATATTCACCTATTACCACACAACATATTGAGATCAAATTGAACATTGCATCATGATGACTATGAGAAAACAAAATTGAAAAATGAGTGAAATATCAAAAGTCTCCTGTTTATTTACATAGGGTTATTTTAGTCTCAAATTTTATAAAGTGTCATATTAGTCAACATACTTTTTTAATATGGGCTGAAATAGTTCCCAAAAAGACCATTTTAACCTTCTATTAAAAGCGTCCAGACTAAATTAACAATTTTATGGACTCTACGACTAAAATGGGCCCCTGCAAAAGTCAGAGGATCATTTGAATACTTTTCTCATTGAAAATTAAACAATCAAGAAGACTCGATTTCTATGGATGACTTTAGGATAGAAAACCTACATTTGCACCCCCAAACTTTGTTAGTTCCCAAATCCCAAGACCAAAAATAATAGATAAGCATTCACATAGGAGTATGATATTCAAATAATGATGCGCCATAGTAACTGATTCTTCTAAAGTATGAAGAAAGGCTTGCAAAAATCCCAAAAATTTGTCGAGTTCCTCAAAGAACCAGTTTTGGAAGAGTGAGGTTCTAAGGAAAAGCGTAATCCAAGTTATAATTTAAGAGGAACAAAACCTATGGAGCATTTACAGATAAAAGTATGCCTTCCCTACCTTCTTCAACTGATTGGATGCCTGGAAGAGCATTAGCAAGTTCCACTTCAAGCATCTCTGAGAACGAACCATACCTTCTGACGTCCTAAAAAGTACCTCCAAAAATCAATTAAAAAAGAGGCGTTTATACATACGACATTACTCTAATATATTTACATATTTAACACCTAAAAATTGATATTTACATGCATACCACTCAAAGCTTTAACATCACATCAAAACTACCATTATTACTAACTTTTTAAAAGTGAAATACATTTTTTCATGCATACGTTTATAATATCAAAGTGTTATAAACGTAAATATCAAACTACAGGTGTTAGATATGTAAGCACATAAGAATTGTGTGGTATATATGTAAATTTCCCTAAAAAAATAGTGGCGAACAAACGAAATTTCATGTGACAACTTCCCTAGCCCAGCAGTACATCAGGAGGATGTTATTACTGTTTCTTAGGAGTAATAGATTTCCACGCAAAACTAAATGGAGTTGTGAGTATTAAATTTGAACCATAGAAATTTAAAGCAGGACACATTTGGAAAAATAAAAAAATAAATAATGAAGAACGATTTAGATGCATTTCATTGAATTTATATGTATTAACATATCTAATACCTAAACTTCAATTTTTACATATATGCCACCATACCTATACATGAGAAGTTGTGCTTCACTCTTTAAAAATTAAAATAGTGGCAATCTTTTTGTGATATGAATGGCTTCGCTGGTATAAATGTAAAAAATAAAGTTTAGGTGTTAGACAAGTAAATACATAAGAGTTGGGTGGTATGTATGTAAAAGTGTCCCCCAAAAAGAAATATACAAGCCCAAGAATGAGATGGAAAAGAAAAGCCATCTAAAGGTTTATACATAATATAAATCATGTGCTGAAATCACCTGAACTTCCAGCAGAAGACATCTATTAAACAGAAGCAAAGCACCAGCTGAAATCCTGGTATCAAATCCATTCCAACATATAGTAAAATTTTAGCAACTTGACAATATAAAGTCTACAACGTCTGAGTGCAGATACACACTTGCAATGATATTACTTTTTTCTATTTCTTCCTTGACCAATGTGCAACAAAATTGGCTATGAATGAAAATCCAAACTTAACTGGCTAAGATTTCGACAATTTCTTAATGCCAAAACTAACACTAGAAAACACAGTTAAGATTGTTGCCCATGACATTAAATTTGAATTGCTAATTTTTTTTTGCTGCCCACCAAAAGTCATGATACAATTTCTATAGCAGCAATACGATATGATCATTGAGAGCGTAAGGAAAAAAGACCGATGCACAAAAATAAAGAATCTTACAAAGGTTCATTGAATTGATGGCAATTTCATATTGTCGCTATTGAAAATTTAATTAAGGTTTGATTGTGGAAAATTACTGCCAAACTTCCTCTAATAAAAAATTATATATATAAAAATCTAGGACAGACAAAATATATAATAAAATTCCCAAATTACCATAAATGAAATAACCTCTAAATATTTGATAGGGCAAAGATTAGGCTTGCTAGCTTAATAATATGAGCATGCCACACAGGTGCCACAAGTATTATATTTATCTTTCTATCATCCACACTGATCCTTTTGCATCTCTCTATCAATACTTACCTATAATTTTATCTTGACCCCATTCAATATCATATCATGCTCGAGTATAAAAATATCTTTGGCATTTTAGGTCTCCTTTGCAAATGTTTTGAGAATGCAACACTATATTCATTGACAAATTATGCCCGAAAAATCTAAGATTCCATAGAAGGGAATGGCAGCTTAACGGTCCTAAGAAAAATTTATTCAAATCGGCGTAATTGAGTTTAGCTTATGGACTTAATCTGATAATTTACAGTTAAAAATGGGGGAAGATAAAAAGAATCATGGTTTTTTTTTTTGTTTTTGAAACATCGAAAAATAATCGACTACAATGTTCATTCTAAGATATCTAATGTAATTTGCCTGGCTTTTCAGAGTGATAATGACTTCCTTTCATAGACAAGCTAAGCAACTGACAACACAGGCCTACTAGAGAGAAAATGAACAACCAATGACCACCTGGTACCAAACTCTCAAAGTTTATTTTGAAAAAAAGTTGAAAACTTATACTTAACATGCATTCATCTATGCTATGACCAGACCCGGAGGCTTAGAATTAACAAAGACGGGAACAGACGATCGAACAGGAAAACTAAATTTTCTATTATTATATTTATATCACTAACATTTAATATCCACATATTAATTGAAAGAGCCAAATAAAGCAATTAAATTGACTACATAAAAAGTTAAGCTTCCATTATTATCCTTATCTTCTGTAAATATTATCTCCTTTAAAATTTATCTTATTCAAAAGCTTAAACCTTAAAAAATAACATAATGAGATATCTAAATTAGCATAGTGGAACAATCACACATATAAACTATAATAACCCAAGGAGAAAAAGCAATATGTATGTTGGTGTTTCATATTTTATTATAGAATATTTTATAATAATCTAATCTATGTGTCCATGATATTTAATCAATGGAAATAACTCAAACTTCAATATGCATTAATTTTAACTTTACTCTTCAAATTTTAATCTTTTAACTTTACTTCAAACTTTTAGCATTCAAATGTCTCAAGATTACCGTCATAACACAACCTAACACACTCTTGACCGATATTATCTCATCGGCACAGCGGTTCATGATATAATTTACATAATTGTCTCAAGTGGAAAGGTTTCTACTCTTCTCTGACTGATATTCTCCCACTAGTACAATGGTTAGCAATCTATACATTAGAATTGTCTGGGGCGATATAATAATATCTACATGTGTGGGTATATTGGCATCTCTTGCCTGTATCAAGAGCTTCTCCTCTTAACATGCACATAACAAATATTCATACATACATTATTTCATTCTTTATAACATATATTTTTTTCGTATAAGACAACAAGTATTTATATGCTAAAAAAAATGCAACTATATTAGAATCTAAAGTCAGGCGATATTCTGATAGATGCACATTTAACGGTCAAGTAATAATCTAACTTATACATTTGGTCATGCAATAAGCTAATATATACATCTCTACTAGAACATAAAAATCGTGCAATAATTTGATTTCTTTCTAAAATAAACTATTATGCAACTATTAAGATAACAGTATTTAACATACATATTTCATGACTAACAATATGAAAAATCATATTTGATTTAATTTTATTAATATACAACATAATAGTAAGAAACTATAAGCATAAATATATTTAAAAATAAGAAATATTAATATAACTTAAAAACATAATTACTCACCTCAAGTCTATAATTTCTTGCTTTTAACTTTTATCAGCACTTTCAAATTAACACCTATAATATATAATATAATCATATTAATAAATTATCTCACATTACTTGATTATCATTATAATTAATTCTAAAAATCTTGTATATTAATATAAGAATTTAAATCCTTAAATTTTATGTTTAACCATTGCAAGTAATATTAATATTAAATAATATTTATTTAAACTAATTACTTTTGGAAATAGAAAATTAATGTTTCTGTGTTTTCTCATCTTTTGCACAATCATCAAACTCAATCTCTTTTAACCTTTAATTGAATAGTTTGTTAAATTAAAATTATTGATACTAATTCATAGATTTTGACTAAAATTTAACTAATTAGATGAAATAACTTATATAATACAAATAAAAATCTTTATCTTGATTACTTCTATCAATTTTCAATAAAAATTTTCTCCCGCCTCTGATTTCCTAATATTAATAAAAATAATCTTATATTAACACTTAAATACAAACTAAATGTTAAAATGATAAACTAGTAAACCCTGACCTTTTAAATTGGCTCGACTGGTTCAGTCGCCCGAACCATGCACACGCCTTTACAACCTTTCCTTCGGATGCTTCATGCACAAGACCCGCAAGCAATGCCATCTTACTTCTTCGATTCAGGTTTGATTTTTCTCCTCTCACAGGAATGCTCCTCCTTCCTGCTCAAACCTGAACAGATCGCACACTAATAATACTCATAGGATCGGCTCCCATTTGATCTTCCCCCAAGTAAAGACCCTTGTCTCCTCCCTTCTTACTTCGTGCAACAGCACAAGAAGCATCAAAGGTTTCATTTTCTTCCTCTCCGTGAGGCACAAGAGGCGCACGCTACTTCCTTCTTCGTATATGCATGAACCTTTTTCCATGCCCTAAACGGACGCAAACACACCCAAGTTACAATGCCTCCTTCTTCTTGATTAGGGCACAGGCTTCTTCCTTCTCTGAAATGTGGCCAGGGTTTATGTCATGTCTTTGTTTCTTCTAATGTCCCACTCTCTCTCTCTCTCTCTCTCTCACTTCTTGTGTCTCGTTCTCTGTCTCTTTATTTCTTGTTCTCGAAAGAGACATTCATCTCTTAAGACAGAATTGTCAAGACGGTGTTCAAACCGACCCATCCATTAGGTAAATAAAATTTTATTTATTTATTTCTTTGAACAGATATTGCAATCTACCTCTTTAGTACTGAAGCTTGATGGATACGCAAGATCACCTCATTGTAAAAAGCTTATATTTCTAATATATAAGCCAATCTCTACATATATTAAAATAAGCTTAAAAAAGAAGCTCAACTCACTTTCTCCAATGGAAATTTTCACTCATCTTTAAGAAGAATTCGAACAAAATTAAATTTACAAAGTTGTGTCACAGCATGAAGAAAACCAAAATTTTGCCAAAAATGATATGCATCAAAACTAGTTAAGCAAAGTTCAAAGATCAAATAGTATGAGTTTTTTTTTAAAGAGTTGAAATCAAATAGGTTTACATAATTTTGTACAGTCAACCTATTATAATCTTCAGTTGCACATCTTCCTACAGCTGTTTTCAGTCCCTCTGCAAAAAATCAGCATAAAACACTTAACGCCATGATGAAGCAAACGAGTACAATAACTAATTTCTAAGAAAAAAATTACATCACAATATATTAACTCATAATGCTTCAGACGCTTAACTGTAGAGGAACCCAGTTATTGCTCCATGAAATCATTTTATATTCTACTCAATAAAAACAGAATTTTATTGGTAAAACATCAACCATAGTTAACTAAATCAGCTATAATTATGGCATGAGGCATTCATTCGTAATGAGCTAAAAATATAACTTTCCCTTCCAAATTGATAAACTCTGCATTTAACTAAACTATTCATATCCTAATATGAAATTTAATAATAGCAATGCACGCAAATCATACTAAAGTGGCCATTAACTTCACCTTTTAATTGTGAAAATAACGGCTCCTGAACATGGAGTTCAAATTCTACATCCTCCATGATCTGCCATATCAAAAAGCAAATCTATAAACTTCATCAGAAAGTACAAGTACACGCTATTGCAGCTCTCCAAAGCTTACATTGACCAACTCGGCTCCCTTCTCGGCGATCAATCTATCAAATTCCTTCTGCTTCAGCCTGAAAGACTCGTCTTCTCTTAACCCCTTCACCGAACACAGGTCTCTGAAAAACTTCCCCGATCTTATGCAGCTCTCCAGAGCACGCGCTAGGTTTTTGTATAAAGGATACTCCGGTACGCCTCCCACTGCAATCTACGGAAAATGTTTAGGCTGTAGAGGTAAGAAAAGAGAGTGGTGGTTAGGGTTTTACCGTGCTGATATGGGAAGAGGAGGAGAAGGGGTCGTCTCGGAGGAGGTTTTCGCAGTATTCATGGGAAAACCCGAGCGAAACTTCGGAGTCTTGTACAAGCGAAGCAGAGAGGGTGAATCTCAGAAGCTCTTCAAACGAGTCGGAAAGAAAGACTGGCGCCGCCCTCAGCGACGGCAGCGCCGGCGGATCCGGCTTCGTGGCAGAGACGCTGCTGTCCATGGAAAAGCGCTGTGTGCAGCTTTTAAGTTGTGGTGAGTTTACCACGGCTACTTTATAGCCATTTAAAAAATTAATCCCACGCCCCAACACTATTCCAATTAGACTTCAAAATTTGAGTTATGGCTGATGGAATATTTTTGGAGTAGGGTTGGGATCCAAAAATTCAACATGTTTATCATTCAGATAAAGTTTGGGATGAAATCGAAAACTCAAACATGACCCGAAAACCCAAACATGAAATTTTCGGTTGGGTTTAGGTTAGTAGGGCGATCTCAGGTATGGTTGTTCCTATTCGGGTCGGGTCATTTCAGGTCGGACTCAAACTCGTCCCCCTGAACCGTATTGACACTCCTACTATTTTATCTTGTTTAAAAATCACATTTGAAATCTTTTATGCTATTCCCTGTCATTGTTTTAATTAACATGAGGTTGTGGATTCGACCCTACGGCCCGCGTTTACTAGCAACGTTTTCTCTGCCCACCCCCACCTCGGGCATGCGTTCTGCCTTTCTCGTGTCTCCTTTCCCTCTCCTTTGTGTGATTCTGGTGGCTAGGGTTGGGGAGATCTCTCATCTCTTCTTTACCACTATGATTGTTTCACGGTGGTTCTCAATGGTTGTTAGATTTGTTGCGGTGATTTGATTTTTCTTCTTTCTCTCCCCTCTCTTATTTACCATTGTGGTCTCACTGTGGCTAGGGTTGGCATTTGTTTATTGGTGGTTCTAGGTTTTGGCTCTACAATGGTTGTTGTAGTGAGTTGCCTCTCTCTCTCTCTCTCTCTTCCT